AGCCATTTCCAGCTGCTGTCCTGGAAATCCAAGCCCGTTCTTCTCACTTGCTAACAAGACAACTGGTTCTCCATGTGTCCTGTCATGCCCTATTGTAATTCTATTCCATCAGCATGGAAGCAAAAATGATTAACATATACTTAAAAAATGAATGACAGAAGTGAACAACAGGTCCTGTCTGGGGTGTGGGTACCAGTAGGAAAAGTGGACAGAGGGTGAATATGGTCAAAATACTTTCTGTACAGGTGTGAAAAATGGAGCAATGAATCTCGTTGAGATTTGTTTGGGAAGGTGGAGAGGTGAGGGGGTGAGTCTCATCAAGGCACACTGTACATGTATATGGACATGCCCACATGAAAGCCCTTCATATAATTGGTTGATGCTAATCAAAATGAGAGGAAAAGAAGGAATCATTTCAAAATGCAAAACTAAGCCATTGTCTTGCTTAAAACCTTCCCATAGTTCTCAGATGCTTTAAGAATAAAAATTCAAGTCCTCTTGAATCTTGGCAACATCTAGCCAGATTCCTTTCCTCTTCTACTTCAGATATGTGAGCCTTCAACAGCTAAACTCTTAACCCCAAACGCCATCAGGAATAGTGTATAGAGAGGTTCTGTGGCACAGAAACTTCTATGTGCTTCTCTCTCGCAACTACTTAAAAGCTACTCATTTTTCAGAACTCACCTGAAACAATTCCTGGAAAAAAGCTTCTCATGACCTAGACCTCGGTTAGGTCCACCTAGGACAGTGGCTTTCAAGGTTTTTTTTTCAAGCTATGACTCATAGCATACTTTGTGGTATATCATACGTATATGCAGATGGAATAATCGTTACTACCTTAACTACAAGACATTATTTTCTATTATTTTACCCATGTGAACCATGTTTGAAAAAAAAAAAAGCTGTACTTCATAATCTCCTATCACCAGGCCTTTCCTTCAAAGTTCTAAGCACATTTTATACACTTGATTAATAATACTTTCCTTATAATCTAAATTCTCTGTGAGACCAGGAAGTAGTTGGCATTTTGTTTAGCTTCAACAAACTCTTTACAACAATTATTTAGACAATGAAAACTAAATCAACAAGTCTCTATCCTTGTAACACTATCAGTTATAACAAATCACAAAGTATCTGCATGAGCTAATCAATTTCTTTAGATTCAAATTCCAGGAATGAAGGAATCCCAGTTGCTTCTTTGTGTCCATAGCATATAATGTAAAACCTGGAAAATGAGAAACAAATATTTCCCAAAGGGCACAGTTCAAATCCTAATACCCCGATTGTGGGAAGAAAGAATTGGTCAAGGCAAGAGAAGTAGGCTGCCCAGCACAGTTTTGCATTGTAATGCTACCTGCCTCAGACTTCCATCTCTGGCAGACAATGTTAGCAAGTTAATTCCAAAAGGTAAATGGAACCTGCTTGGGAAACAAAGTTATCATAATTAATTGGGATTTGGCAAATCAGGAACTACTGTGGGATTCACCAATATAAGCAGCTCATTATATGGAAATCATTTATTGGCTCTAAGCCTTAAAAAACTAAAATTAGTTGGAAATGTGTAATCTCTGCTCCCTAAAGTAAGTCACTACTGTTATCTCCTAGCATTCACATTCCTTTTACCAACAGCATGTTATAATTATTTAAATGGAATGAGATATATTTTGTGCTTACCTTGTAATTCCCAGGAGAGCTTCTCTGAGGACAAAACACACACGTGAACTTCTACAACAGATGGTGTAAGCCCCGCTAAGCTTCTTGTTCCAAAAGTCACATGGACACAGAAACATGAATAGATTTAGAATGATTACATTGGTTGGCTTGGAGCAGCAAATCCTTGGCTATCATAAAGAGTCTGTAAGACTCTTTATCTCAGCCACTTGGGCTGAATATTTAGTATTTAACTCATCTTTTTCTTCTAATTTTCTCAATCTTTTCTGTGTTTATGTAATTCCTTAAGATAAATATTTCTAGAGTTTTTCCAAAGTTGAGAGTCTCCTCTCCTAGGAAATGAAATATTATTCTTGCATATAGTATATGATAAATTAACAAATAGTGGTTAGTTTTCCAGTTAGTTGTGGAATGGTTTTATTTTTAATTAATTTTGCCAGTCCTGGGGCTTGAACTCAGGGCTTGGGTACTGTCCCTGAGCTTCTTTTGCTCAAAGCTAGCACTCTATCACTTGAACCACAGCGCCACTTCTGGCTTTTTCTGTGTATGTGGTACTAAGGAATTGAGCCCAGGGATTCATGAATGCTAGGCAAGCACTCTACCACTAGCCACATTCCTAGCTTTGGTTTTATTTTTAATTTTCATTTATACATTATATGGAGAATCTAAGTAACAGTAAAAAAAACAAAGACAGGATTTAAAAGGGCTGAAAGCTGGGGGCTGATGGCTTACACCTGTAATCCTAGCTACTCAGGAGGCTGAGATATGAGGATCACAGTTAAAAGCTAGTCAAAGCAGGAAAGGTCCTGTGCCTCTTATCTCCAATTAACCGTCAGAAAACCAGAAGTGGCTCCAAGTGATAGAGTGCTAGCCTTGAGCAAAAGAGGTCAGGGACAGCCCCCAAGCCCTAAATTCAAGCCCCACAACCAACAACAACAACAAAAAAGGTGCTAACGGCTTCACAGAATTGCAGTTCCTGTTGACTGAAAATAATAACAAAAAAGTAGTAACAAGGCAGTCACTCATACATGTAATCCTAGCTACTCAGGAGGCTGGTATCTGAGGATCAAGGCTCAAAGTCAACGTAGGCAGGAAAGTCTGGGATACTAGTTATCTCCAATTAACCAACAAAAAGACAGAACTGGAGGCATGGTTCAAGTGGCAGCCCGAGCAAAACAGCTAAGGATGATCATGAGGCCCCAAGTTCAAGCCCATGACCAGTACACACACACACACACACACACACACACACACACGCCAGCAAATATATCACAGAAAATTAGATCACAATTTTATGGGAACCCATGAGCTAGGATAGACTCCTACTCCACATCAATGGTACAATCAGTCATGATAAGAGTTGAAAAATATTTAGATCCAAGTTCATAATACTTGCAAACAAACCTCATTGGCCACCCATGAGGAACGGCAGGGGACCAACTTGGTATTCTGAAAATAAGCAAATCATTTTCTAGGCACTGGTGGCTCATGCCTATAATCCTAGCAACTCAGGAGACTGAGATCTGAGGATCATTGTCCAAAGCCAGCCAAAGGAGACTCTTATCTCCGATTAACCAACCCTGAGTTCAAGCCCTAATAATGGCACACACACACACACACACACACACACACACACACAAATTGGTTGAGAGTTATTTGAATGATGGATGATGGATACAGAGAAAAAACTGGTTGTACTATCATCTTTTTTTTTTTGGGTCCGGTCCTGGGGCCTGAACTCTGGGCCTGGGCACTGTCCCTCAGCTCTTCAGCTCAAGGTTAGCGCTCTACCACCTGAGCCACAGCACCAGTTCCGGCTTCTTTTTGCTTATGTGGTGCTGAGGAATCGAACCCAGGGCCTCAGGCATGCAAGGCAAGCGCTCTACCACTGAGCCACCTTCCCAGCCCGTACTATCATCTTTACATTGAGGTATATTTGAAAAAAAATTTTTTTTGGGGTGGGGGTCCGGTCGTGGGCCTGAATGCTGTCCCTCAGCTCTTCAGCTCAAGGCTAGATAGAGCTCTACCACTTGAGCCACAGCGCCACTTCTGGCTTTTTTCTTATGTGGTGCTGAGGAATCGAACCCAGGGCCTCATGCATGCAAGGCAAGCAATCTACCACTGAGCCACCTTCCCAGGCCCTATATTTGAAAATTTTCAGAAGTTAAAGAACAGTGGTTGTCGCTATCAGATAGGCAGTAACTTGGGAAAACTTATAAAAACTAAACAAAAATAATGTTCCCTTGATAAAACCTGCACAAGCCTAAGGAGAGAGATGGGTTCTTCTCCATCTGGGGCTAAAGGCCCCCCTATCAGGTTCTGTCACATCAAACTCCCTATCCCATCAACACTGCGGTATCAGGGGAGGGAAGGCTGTTCAGACTCTATGTCTTGTAAGATTTATCTTGTTATTTCTGCTCTTCCCACATCTTATCAGGCAGCAAATGGTGGAGATAATCAAACAAGAAAGCACACGAGACTGTGGGGTTAATCCTACCAGCCTTTAGGGTTTGTGAGCTCAGTGACACTTAGGGAAAGGGCAGTCCTCATTCCCTGTTAACTCTGCAAGCATAACCCATAAATTGAGTACAAACTCAACAGTAGAAAAGGCATTAGTGACAGGCACTGGTGGCTCACACTTATAATCCTAGCCATTCAAGAGGCTGAGACCTGAGGATCACAGTTTGAAGCCAACCCAGGCAGGAAAGTTAGATTCTTATCTCTAATTAACCACCTAAAAGCAGGAAGTAGAGCTGTGATTCAAAGTGGAAGTGTTCCAACCTTGAGCTAAAGGAGCCCAGGGACAGTGCTCAGGCCTAGAATTCAAGCCCCAGAATGGGTTAAAAAAAAAAAAAAAAAGTATCAATGCCTGGCACTGGTGGTGCATGCCTGTAATTGTAGCTAAGTAGGAGGCTGAGATCTGATAATCTTGGTTTAAATCCAAGCAGGATAGCCCACGAGACTCTTATCTCCAATAACCAGAAGTGTCACCGTGGCTCAAGGTGGCAGAGCACCAGCCTTGAGCAAAAAGAGCTCGGGGGATAGCACCCAGGCTGAGTTCAAACTCCATAACCCTCCCCCCCCCCAAAAAAAGGCATTAGTATCCTGTACATTAGTGCTTCCAATTATATAGCATTTCCAAAGTTAATGGTATACTTTATTATTTATCAAGAGTTAGAATTTTGCAAAATCTGGTGTTTATGATTCATTTTCCTATAGCAAATGTCTGTTTATTACATTTGAATTTTAGAGTAAAAATGACTCAGCAATGTGAAGGTGAAGTATGTTCAATGATTTGGGAGCCAACAAATTGGAACAAAGGCTCAAAGTAAAAAACTAAAAATGACATTTATTTAGTTTTTGAAAATTAAATAACAATTTAATTGGCAAAACTCAAAAAGAAAAGAGCTGACATGTTATATGACTGATCAGATCCAAGCACAACATTTATTAATGAATATGAAAAATTTTATTATTTGCTTTTCCCCCCAGTGTTTACTACATAGACATTTCTGGAAACCTGAGTTCCTAAGAAAATTCTACTGCTATACCAGCTCCTATGAGTGAGATTAAGGTCCTACCACCATAGAGAAATACGTTTCTATCCCTGGAGGTTTTGAACCACCAGATACCTAGAAACTTCAAAAACAAGTACTTTCATTAGGATGAGTGTGAGGAAAGTGCAGAACACTGTCCAGTGTGGGTAGGGTGCTCTTCAGGTTCTCTGAATTCTCCACGTGACTACAAGACCAGGCATCATCTTCTCTGGCAGTTCCTCCTGCAGCCACTGCCACGTTCCTAACTATAGCCAAAACATCCCAAAACTGGGATGAATAAAACTGAAGATCAAATTTTCGTCCTTTCACTTTTGGGAACTGAAGGGTCTCTGTGTAGGAAAGGAAGGAGGTTTTGCATGAAGTTTGCCTTCTATCCCGCAATATGAACTGAGTATGTTCGGTGTACTTACCATCAATGTACAAGGAAGCTAAAGAAAATAAACAAGTCACTCTGAACTAAGCCCCTCAAAACAGAGGCAAATTTGGTGAACTAAGGCCACTGCTTATGGTAAAACCACAGGTCACTGTGGTCCTTCGCTGAAGAACTGTGTTAATCTCCTGATTCAGGAGGAACCTCTGGTGAGGACAGAGAATAGAAAGAAAGCTTAACTTCAGGCGAGGCAACACCACATGGAGCATTAGAGTTGTAGTTCAGTCTACAGCATGACATGGAAGCATCACTGACAAGAGCTGGAACACACACACACACTCCTGGAACATCTTCCTTAATGCAGCTTAATGGCGGATGCCCAGATGTCATTGCTGGGGAGCGGAGGAAGGACCCATCCTTGGGGAACAGAATTGCCTTTGGGGTGATCCGATGGTACAAGGTACTGATCCCAATCATGCCTTAATAACAAAAGTATAGAACAACTGTTTATTTCTATTTTTTTTTCCAAGCAAGATGTTCAGCAACTAAATACTTTATTTCTAGGTCTAAGATTTCAAACAACTCATCTTAGTACAAATCTACTATATAACTTGATTACTAGGAATTATACACAAAGTTATTTAGTACTGAGTTTTCTATTGTGTCTCTGTTTATGTGGTACTGAGGAATCAAATCCAGGGCTCCTCAACTTGAGCCACAACCCAACACCTTTGTTTTTGAAGTAGATTTGCTACCCTACCTCAGCCTGGCCTTGAACTTGTAATCTTCTTGCCTTTGCCTTTGCCTCTGCAGTAGCACAGATTACAAGTGTGTTCCAACAGATTTGGCTAAAGACAATGTTTTAAATTAATTTAACAGTTATAGAAAAGGGCAAGTCACAGGCTGAGTTAGTTTCTTTACTGTTATAATGAGACACCTACTTCACAAGGATTAGTGAGGACTGTCAAATAAGACATACAAGGCTCAAAATTCGGTAACAATATAAACCCATAAAAACTTTCCTGCCCTCTGACCTTATCTGGATGAGCGCTGGCAGGGAATGCTCAGCCTGGAGATAATACTGTTGGAAAGGCTGCAGGAGGTGAGCAAGTGGGAACTCGTCTGAAAGAGAAGAGGCACAGGACTATGTCAGTACATGTATCAAGAACACTTCTAAGGCAGTGACTAGGCCTGTGATGACAATTGGTTCAAATGTGTTTCATTTGTAGATGTGGCTTTCACATTACAGCTTAGAATCTTAAATTGTCACCCATCTCTTGGCTGAAGTTGTGAATGAATGAATGCTTAATAATAAAGAGCTGTCAAAAAAGGAGAAATTTTCCTTTTCTGTACTACATATAGAGAAACTTACCTGGATCCCCAAATAGCTTATATTCAATTTCACGTTGCTGAAGTAACATTTTCTCCTTTTCTTTTCTCTGTTTCTTTTCCAATTCTCTTTTCCTCTCTTCCTCTTGTTCTCCCTCCAACATAACTCTGAGGGCTCTCTCTTCAGCTTCATACAATTCAGAACGTTTTTTAATGAGTTTTCTCAGCCGCTGAAGATGATGCTCAAAGGTCTCATCCGCTGACGCCGGAGGACAGACCCCTGAGCAACAACAAACACATGGCATTTCAGACACTTTTTCTTATTCCAGACACACTTTGTAGTGAGTAGACTCCAAGTTCTAACTATAACTATGAACCTGTTTAGAATCCGGAAATCCTACCTTCAATGCTTTTTTTTGGTCCAGTCGTGGGGCCTGAACTCTGGGCCTGGGCGCTGTCCCTTAGCTCTTCAGCTCAAGGCTAGCGCTCTACCATTTGAGCCACAGCACCACTTCCAGCTTTTTTCTTTTTGCTTATGTGGTGCTGAGGAATCAAACCCACGGCCTCATGCATGCAAGGCAAGCGTTCTACCACTGAGCCACCTTTCCAGCCCCCTTCAATGCTGTTCGATGTTTTTTTGTTTTTATTTATTTTGGGCGGGGGTGAAGGGGGTGGAGGGGGAAGGGAGTGAGGCAGGAAATTTTTCCTATCTCCATTTTTCCTAAAACAAATCCTTGCTAAACTTTCACCTTGTGAGACTCTTTTTGTGAAATACTCTGAAAAGCTTTTGATGAGTGGATCTCAAGGACCTATGAGTTTGTGTGGAAACTAAGGAGCAGATGGAAGCCTTCAGAGAAGATTGGGAAGAGGATGTGAATGAAGTAGTCAGGACTAGAGCAAATTAGATCCCAGGAGGCATACATTCAGATTACATTTTGCCTTTTCCAATGGTTTTACTGGGCTTACAACTCAGAGCCTTGCCCTTCTTGCTGGTCAGGTGCTCTAATACTTGAGCAATGGCTCCTGCACAAAATCATCCATTTTGACAAGAATTATAATCTTCACTTTTATGTACTGTGTACTTTTTACTTTAATTGGACATACCCATAGTGAACTTGATTGTGAACAATTCAAATAAGGCCATTCTACTTCTAATGCCTTTCCTCATATTAAAACAAGGGTCAGTGTCACTCACAAAGAAGAGATGATCTTAACACCAACTGAAGCTGCTATTGAAGACACGCAGAAGAAGACAGGTGTCAACATTTGCAACACATCAGGCTGCAACAGAACCTACAAATGATTTAGATGGTACCAAGGATCTATATGTATTACTGTGAATCAGAGACTTCCAAGAAGTTGCCCAGTTCCTCTGAAATACAGTGACTCAAAGCTCTTTGGACATAACAAAATGACTGCTTTAAAGATATTACTAAAAGGGGTGAAGATGCCTTAAGGAAAAATAAATAGTTTATTTGGGCCAGATCAAAAGAAACTAGAGAGAAACTCCTATAGCCTTAGAGGCTTTATAGCTACTGATGAAGAGCTGTACAAAGCAGTATTGCCTGTCACATCACACAGATCCCTTCAGCCAAATGAGTCTTCAGAACACGGATCTCTAAAACAAATGCATTTATTTTACTCATTTGAAAAGAGGCATGTATTCACCACTGACTGTGAAAATAAGATCTACTGAAAAACAGGACTTACATGCTAATTCTGGAGATTATTTTAAGTTATTTTAATGACTCAAAGGTACATTACCATAACTTTAAATTCTGTGTGTGGGGGGGACCTGGGGGGGAGGTGGTGGTAATAACAGTCCTGACCTGGATGCTATCCTTGAGCCTGTTTGCTCAATGCTAATCCTCTACCAATTGAGCCACAGCTGTACTTCTGGATTTTGGGGGAAGATAAGAGTCGCACCAACTTTCCTCCCCAGGCTGGCTTTAAACTGCAATCCTCAAATTTTAGCCTTCTGGGCAGCTAGTATTGTAGGTATGAGCCACTGTGTTGCTTTCTCATAATAAGACTTTGTGTATGTGTGTGTATGTGTGTTTCCTCCATTTCTTTTTGTCTTTCCATAAAGGGTCAGAGAAAGTAATGTTTTGGTTCCTAACAGTCTCTATTGCTACTACTAAACCTGCCGGTTAAGCAAAAATGATACGTTCCACCATCCCAGGATCGTCTCCAGTTCACAGGAACTGTGCAGCCTGCTCCCACCCCAGGCTGCCAGGTCTGGGCGACCCACCCACAGCTCCTTAACCACTCAATGACCACTCCTTAGTGAACGTGACACAGTCCCTAGAAAATGGCACTCTTTACCCAGTATTCATGTAATCAACAAGTATTGGCACCACCTCATTTCTCTGCCTGTTTACTATAAGCTTCCTCATTCTTACAGATCCCAAACACCAATGCTCTGCCTATATTCCTCCCTCTCAGCAATATACACCCTGGGGCCTGGTCCAGTCTTTGAGATCTTGACATGATCAGAAAAAAACTTGCCAGCTCTCAAGTGTAAGCCTGATTATTAACTTAAGACTTCAAGTTTCTTCTAAAGACTGTTAGCTTCACTGGAGCTTCCAGACCTACATATCAGATTCTCTCTTTCTATTCTCCCTCTCCAAAACACATGCATACTTCAGGAAGCAAATTCCAGCAGTTCTATGCTCTCTGCTCAACCATCAGCTGCATATGACTCCTGGAAGAAGCCATGTGAATATGTGGCCAGGTGCCAGTACCTAGGTTTGTCCACTGGACCCATAATAATAGCTGTTACTTCAAAACTTCACTACTCTTCTCTCAGCAAGCCATCTAATCTACTTCCCAGAAAAAATGAACCAGCAAGCAGGAAATGCTCAACTCTCTGTCACCAGTTGCACTCACTTGCTCTATTATCTACACATCCTTGCCTCCTTCCTTTCCATGCCACAGGAAGATGGGCGCTTCTCCACTGGTAATTCTATCTGAGATCCAAATCACCCTACCTTCCAGGAGACGCTGAGCCACAATTATCTCCCCTGCTTCTTTCTTTGCCCCTTCCACTTGTACTCAATTTTTCCCTCAGCATTTAAACATGCTGCTTCCTGTAACACCCAACATACACACTAGGTCATTACCACCCACACCACACACTGCCAGATCCTGAGCTTGTGCTCTCATTTTCCATACAGGCAATCTTTAATAAGTTAATTCTGTTTGCGTTTATCTTTTATGTATTCTCCACTTAGGCGGTCCAGCTTCTACCCCCACCACACCATTGAAATGCTCTGGCATAGGTCTCTGGTGACCTGTTGGGCACTAATTCTCATGAATGTTTCTTTGCCTTTATAGTACTTGGTAATAAAGAGCCCTCTTGTTTGACCTTTCTAGTAATAAAAAGAGATGGTGCCAGGTACCAGTGGCTCATGCCTGTAATCCTAGCTACTCAGGAGGCTGAGATCTGAGGATCACGTCAAAGCTGGCCCAGGCAGTAAACCCAGGAAGATACTTATCTCTAATTAACTACGGGAAAAAAAAACAAACCCTAAAACAAAGAAACAAAAACAGCTGAAAATGGATCTGTGGCTCAAGTGGTAGAGCATTAGCCCTGAGCACAAAAGCTAAGGGACAGCACCCAGGCCCAGAGTTTAGACCCCAGAATCAGCACCAAAAAAAAAAAAAAAAAAAAAAAGCAGGAGGTTAATGCTTAGCACCAGTGGCTCATGTCTGTAATCCTAGCTACTGAAGATTTTGGTTCAAAGCCAGCTGGGGCAGGAAAATTCCAATTAAACACCAAAACTAGCCAGAAGTGGGGCTGTGGCTCAAGCTGTAAGAGCACTAGCCTTGAACAAAAAAAGCTCAAGGACACTACCCAGGAACTGTGTTCAGCTCCAAGATATCTCCCTGTGCCGCCCCCCCCCCCCCCAAGAGATGGTGTACTGTAGCAGATGCTAACTTACCCTGTCTTATAAATGCCCTAAAAGAACCATACTGGGGTCATTTGATTCTAAGGACTAGATGTGGATCAGCTACTCTAATCGCTGGATGCAGGAGGCAGTCACTTAGCTGTGAATGAGCCTGGATAAACGTACAATGGTCCCATCACAATAAAACTTTACTAAAGGTCTAAAAGATTCAGTTCCCATTTATATTTTAAACCACACAGGGGAAACTATTTGGTAAGATTGACACTTATTAGTTTGTGTATTCTGAAATATCCCTGGTGAAAGTGAATGTTTAAGGTCTACCACTCTCTACATTAGGCACAAGTGAGGAGCAGGAGAAACCTCAGTAAATCAGGAAGTATGGAGGAGGGTGCATCTGTACTTAGTTTTGAAGGAAAATGGGATCTTAAAATCGCTAAGGTGGGACTGAGTGCCTCCAGACCAATAGACTGACAAGAGCAAAGATTGAAACAGGCAAATGGAAAAGCACCACTACAGGTAACTCCAAAAACCCAGTATGACTGGGACCTACTTTTGTGAAAAGGCTTCACTGCTTGGCTAGGGTATGTGGTGCATCCTCCAGTGGTAACAGGAGACCGCTGAGGTCTTCTGAGTTCAAAAGTGACATGAAGAAAAACTAGGGACATCTAGACTCCCTGCCCTATTGAACCATTTGTATCTCTTCAAAAGGCAGTAATTCAGACCCGAAATGCATCTGAAGAACATGCTAAATACTTTTTTGAAACAGCAAGAAAGGGTAAGAAAGTTTTCAACTTGTTGGGGCTGGGAAGGTAGCTCAGTGCTTGCCTTGCATGCATGAGGCCCTGGGTTCGATTCCTCAGCACCCCATAAGCAGAAAAAGCCAGAAGTAGTGCTGTAGCTCAAGTGGTAGAGCACTAGCCTTAAGCTGAAAAGCTGAGGAACAAGCACCCAGGCCCAGAGTTCAAGCCCATGACCACCAACAACAACAACAAAAGGAAGTTTTTAACTTGTTGTGTAGACATGTTACGGGTAGAAATAAGGAAGTAAGGGAAAACAGTCAGTAGATTCTCACACCTGCCTTTCTTCTCAACTGGCTGCTTCAAAAGATCTGAGCTACTGCTGACAAGCCCACTTACTTCAGGAATAAAAAGAATGAAATGCAATTATTTTTCTTTAAAAGATAGTTGGAGAGGCACTAGGGTAAAAGGGGAGGAATCCAAGTGGAAATGCAAAGCCATAATTACCTTTCCTTGCTGCAGCCTCTTTCCTCAGTTTCCTCAGTTTCTCCAGAGCTCGAAGAATGTCCACCATTCTTTTGGTGTCACCTTGCTTTTTTCTTACTTCAGATAAGACACCATCAGCAGCAGCTTTGAGTTCTTGTTCCTGGAAGGAAAAAAGAGCCCACAAGATCTTGTATTAGGAACAACTTTCTAGCATAAGTTCCTCTTTAGAGGATCAGTCCCTCAGTGAAGATAGATTCTCTTCTATGTCCCCATTTCTTAGACCTGGTACAACTCTCCTATACAATGGCTCCACCAAGGAATTATCTTCTTCCAGTGATCACACAACCTTCTGTTTTGTTTTTTTGAGGCAAGTTCTCACTGCAGCCCAGGCTAGCCTGGAACTGTCAAGCTTCCAGCTTCAGCCTCCCAAGTAGTGGCATTAATTGGCACATACACCACACCTGGACAATTGTACAACTTTTTTTTTTCCCTTATTTTTTTTTTTTGTGCCAGTCCTGTGGCTTGACCTAGGGGCCTGGGCACTGTCCCTGAACTTTTGTGCTCAAAGCTAGTGCTCTACCACTTTGAGCTACAGCTCCACTTCCAGCTATTTGGGTGATTAATTGGAGATAGTCTCATTGATTTTCTGGTCCAGCCTGACTTTGTACTGTGATCCTCAGATTTCAGCCTACTGAGTAGCTAGGATTACAGGCATCCAGATTGTACAACCTTGCTAAAGGTTCTTCTGCTTGGATTACTCCTTGTGTCTGGAACCCCATCTGCTGCTCTTACTTGGTTTTGACATTTCTCTCCAGGTTCTGCTGAGATGTTCTATCTGGGAAGCCTTTTCTCGAAAGGTTTACATACCCTTCTCTGGGCCCCTTATCACACCTACAGGTGAAATCCTAACACACAACACAGTATACTGTCATGATTCCCCATGAGGATGCAGGCTTTGAGGGACAAGGTCTAGGTCCTATTCATCTTTATTCCTGGTAACACACAGGACCTAAAGGGTCCACATTATATTTCTGCTGAATTGATCCTTATTTCCTCCAGTTTAAGTGTTGCCTCTCCAGCAATGATAGTTCTATGGGTACGAAGACAAAGCTCAACATCAATATATTCAATGGTGAAGTCCTATCAGTATCTTGGGTAGTAGCAGATGCTACTGGACTGTGGACAGAATGGGGGTAGAGGAAACCCCAGAGGCACTCAAAGGAAATAAGAATGCCTTAAATATTTGCCCAATTTCCAGTTTCACCCTGGTCCTGCTCAGAGCTTGAGATGGGTAGGCCTTTTTTGGGGGGGGGGGGGGGGGAAGCATTAATCTGAGACATCAACTCAAGGTCTGGGCACTCTTCCTGAGCTATTTTGCTCAGGGCTAATGTTTTACCACTTGACACAGCCCCACTCTGGCTTTCTGGTGGTTAATTAGAGATGAATCTCAAGTTTTTCCACTGGGCTGACTTCAAACTGTAATTCTCACGTCAGCCTTCTCAGTAGCTACGATTACATATATGAACTACCAGTGCCCAGCTTTTTTTTTTTTTTTAATTTGAAAGTAAAAGGAATTCCAAAAAGTAGCAAGACTCTGTATTCTGAGAGGGGACACCAAATCCCTACACAGGATCTGAAATCAGACACCATGGGTTTAAATCAGAAATATAACTAGTGAAGTGGTTGTGTGATTGTTGGCAAGTTAATCTTTCTATACCTTAATTTCCTACTCTGTAAAGTTTGAATAATTCCTATTTCTCAGGGCTGTTATGAAGATTCAGCACCTCATGTATGAAAGTCAGTCCTCCAAATCGCTGATTTTGTAGGTTATATGGCTTAAAGTAACAAATGGATCTTGTGGATCACTTTTGCTCCTTTAGCCATTTAGGATTTAGGTTGCTTGAGGCAGAGCACCAAGTTCCCAATATTTTGTACAGAGGGCAGGTCAAGTCCTGTCTTCCCAACAATACAATGGTTAATTCTATTTGTGTAATTTGTGCTTACAGGGTTCACTGTACATCCAGAGCTTTTGCTTTCTGTGTATCATTAGTTAGCCAACCGTCCCCAATCCTATCATTTGTGTTCCAAGGACTTCACAGTGCGTCCAGATCTTTTGTTTTGTGTGTGTCATCAACACGCAATTAATACAGAGGTAAGAGGTGTTAAGACGATCCTTCAAGCTATGCTAACCCCTGGCAACCAGTAGCTAAAGCCTCACGCTGCTTCAGCTTCCAACCATCCCAACAACCACCCCAACTCTACATCCAGAGCGTCACGGCTCTCACCCGCTTCTTCTCCTCCACCTCCTGCACGCACTTGACCCTCCAGCGGTCAATCTCTATTTCGCGATCCGCTGCCCGCGCGGCCTCCGCTTCCCGCTCGGTCTCACGTTCCCGGGCTCTCTCACGAAGCCTTAGTCGACGGCGCCGGACCCTCTCCAGCCTCCGCCGCGCCTCACCCACATAGGCGGCCTGGGACAGCGGCTGCAGACGCTCGGCCAGTTCGGCGCGCAGCGGCGCGGCCTGCGCGTGCAGCCGGGCCCAGGCCGCTCCATCAGCCTCGGCCTCGCGTAAGGCCTGCCCCAGGTCGCGCAACCGCCGCACCAGACGCAGGGCCCCGCGCAACCGCGCACGCACTTCGCCCAGGCTGGGCCCGGGAGGTGTGCGCGGGGGCCCCGGGCCGCCCGCCCGCCGGGGGTTCCCGAACACCGCCTCCAGCCACTGCCGGTCGCGCAGGCGCTGCAGGGCCGCGTCCCCGAGCACGTCGGGTGGCGGCGGCCCCTCAGCCCAGCGCGGGCTCCAGGGCGGCCCCGGGCCTGGAGGCGGTGGCCGCGGACGCTCGCCGGAGTCGGTCCCCGGGAAGGCCCGACACTGGGGCGGCGGCGGAGGTAAGGGCGGCGGCGGCACCGGGTAGAAGGCGCTGCCGCCGCCGCCGCCGCCCCGGGAGGCTTCTGCGGGGCCCCGGGGCTGCAGAGTCAGTGGAGGCTGGAGGAAGGGGGCAGAGGCCCCCGGAAAAGGCCCGGGCCGCTGGGGAAGAGGCGGCGGGAAAGCCGGGGAGGGAAGCGGTGGTGGCGGGCAGCCGAAGGGAGTCGGAGGCGGCGGCTGTGGGGGCGGCAGACCCGGGCGACCCGGGGCGAAGAAGGGCGGCAGGGCCATGTCCGCGGCGCGCTCGCAAGCCACGGAAACTCCCGGGCGCTCCTGACAGGCTCCTGGACGGAAATGACGTCTTAGGACGCGCGACAACCGTCCTGATGCTCAGGAAGAAGCGTGGAAGAGTGACGTCATGCCAGGAAGCATAATCCTAAATGGGCATTGGTTCGGCTCTCTGAGCGCTGGGCGCGTGGGAAAGTGTAACAAGTACCTTAGCCAGGTATCGGCGGTGACTCACGTCTGAAGTCCCAGCTAGTCTCCGGGGGGCTGAGATCAAAGGATCGCGGTTCAGAGCCAACCCAGCCCGGAAAGTCAGTGAGACTCTTATCTCCAACTGAACCACAAAAAGCCACAAGTGGAGTTGTGGCTTCAATGGCAGAGTCCTAGCCTAAAGATAGCGCCTAGGCCAAGTTCCAGGACACACACACACACACACACACACACACATTAATCAAGTAATCCTCAATCATATCTAGAAGTAATGATGAGCGTTTGGCTCTAAGAGTTTGAGAACAAAGTTGGTTTAAGGATTTAAGGCTTCAGTCCAAATCTGAAGGCAAAAACAGGAGTTAAAGAAGAGCAGCACAGATCAGATGGTAACAGTGCTAGCAAGTAGCAGTTGCCAGTATTTATGGAGCTCAAAAACCATTAAGTTGAGTCTGGTGATTTTGGGGAGATAGAACTTACAATATTCAATATCTTTTTTCCCCCCAGCACATGTCAATCCTAATTAATGTAAAACAGAACATAAATAGCATCGGGGGGCTGGGAAGGTGGCTCAGTGGTAGAGCGCTTGCCTTGCATGCCTGAGGCCCTGGGTTCGATTCCTCAGCACCACATAAGCAAAAAGAAAAAAAAGCCGCAAGTGGCGCTGTGGCTCAAGTGGTAGAGTGCTAGCCTTGAGCTGAAGAGCTGAGGGACAGTGCCCAGGCCCAGAGTTCAGGCCCCACAACCGGACCCAAAAAAAAAAAAAAAAGAAGAAGAGCAGCACAAATCAGATGGTAACAGTGCTAGCAAGTAGCAGTTGCCAGTATTTATGGAGCTCAAAAACCATTAAGTTGAGTCTGGTGATTTTGGGGAGATAGAACTTATAATATTCAATATCTTTTTTCCCCCCAGCACATGTCAATCCTAATTAATGTAAAACAGAACATAAATAGCATCAAGGACAAAAACCATGTGGCTTTCTCAATAGATGCAGAAAAAAACTACAAAATTCAACATCTCTTCCTAACAAAAGGCCCTGAACCAGCTAGTAATAAGCTGGGCCCTAGGTGGCTCCCAACTCACAACCTTGGTAAGAACAGAACAAAAGAAGTAAGCATGAAAGCCCAGAATTCAGCCCCAGTACTGGGACACACACACATATAAACTACACATGCTAGACATTAACTAGCTAGTTGAAACAGTCCCTCCCCCATTTTTTTCAGTTTAGCAGCACTGGAAAAAGTATCTGGACTTAAATCCTGGTAGTTATTAGTTGTAAGAAGCAACTGAAAAGATTGTTTTGCTGATGGGGCTGGGAAGGTGGCGAGTGGTAGAGCGCTTGCCTTGCATGCATGAGGCCCTGAGTTCGATTCCTTAGCATCACATAACCAGAAAAAAAAAGCCGGAAGTGGTGCTATGGCTCAAGTGGTAGAGTGCTAGCCTTGAGCTGAAGAGCTGAGGGACAGCGCGCAGGCCCAGAGTTCAGGCCCATGACCGGACCAAAAAAAAAGAAAAGATTCTTTTGCTGAGTCCTGTCACTAGAAGTCCATCAACTTGGTTATCTGTGCCCTTCCATCTATTTTCTACTGCAGTTCCTTTACAATCATCCATTTGCAGAAGATTCAATAACCACCTTGTGTTGAAGGCAAATTGAACTTCCAACAGACCTGCCTCTCCTTATTATCTTAAAAACAAACAGCCCAAGGGCTGGGAATGTGGCTTAGTGGTAGAGTGCTTGAAACCCTGGATTTGATTCCTCAGTACCACATAAACAGAAAAAGCTGGAAGTGGTGTTGTGGCTCAAATGGTAGAGTGCTAGCCTTGAGATAAAGAAGCTCAAGGACAGTGCCTTGAGTTCAAGCCCCAGGACTGGCAAAAACAAACAAACAAAACCAAAACAAAACAAAAAAACCAGCCTCTAACTCAGGAGACCACATTACCTTGTTCCTGTTCTGTTCCAGTAATAAAGTGACATCTGGAACTCCTCCAGAGACAAAAGCCGTTAGCTTATACCCATTTTCATTATACATCTTTCTCAAGCAGTACCCCCAGTTCTCCCTATTTAACCTGAAGACAATTTATACCTCTGAAAACAGCTGAAGATATACTATCTTACTGAAGTGCTATCTTCCCATGGCTGCTTTGTAATAAATCTTTCTCTGCCATTCACCATGTCTCTTTATTTGTTATATGGGGGCAAGTGGCTAGACCTAACATACTCCAGGACTTTGGACCTGGTGACTAAAGTACATCCAAGGGATTGTCTTGCCTGTCTTTATTTGGTATTTTTATTGGAATATTAAATTTATAATTTAGGAGAAAGCATTTTTACATTGTGCATTCAAGACCACGGGATAACTCTTGGACTAGTTTGCAAAAGTAACTGCCCATCATATACCACTTCCTCATCGTGGTCCACACATCATCATCTTTACCGTGTGTGTGTGTGTGTGTGTGTGTGTGTGTGTGTGTGTGTGTGTTTGATCTTTTCTGCTTTTACTTAAGGCTATTGCTCTATCACTTAAGCCAAGGCTCCACTTCTAGCTTTTTTGTTGTTAATTGAGAGATGAGTCTCAAGGACTTTCCTCCAAGAGCTGGCTTTGAACTGCAATCCTTAGATCTCAGCCTCCTGAGTACCTAGGATTATAAATGTGAGCCACTGTCACCTGGCAAAGGGCTACTTAAATTATGTGTGGACCACTAAACATATGCACAAAATATAAACAATATGGTAGGTTTGGTCTTCACCCTAATGGACTTACAGTATAGTTGGAAAGATAGCTTGGAGATTTGCTAAAGGACATGTATTTTTGTTGTTTTTGCTGGTCCTGGGGCTTGAACTCAGAGCCTGGGTGCTGTCCCTGAGCTTCTTTGCACTCAACAAGGCTAATGCTCTACCATTTGAGCCACAGTGCCAACTTCCTTTTTTTTTGGTGGTGGTGGGGGTCGGTCCTGGGGCTTGAACTCTGGGCTTGGGAGCTGTCCCTCAGCTACTCAGCTCAAGGCTAGACTCTACCACTTGAGCCACACTGTCACTTTCAGCTTTTTTTTGGTTTATGTGGTGCTGAGGAATCAAACCTAGAGCCTAATGCATGCGAGGCAAGCACTCTACCACTGAGCCACTTTCCCAGCGCCACCACCGCCCCCCCCCTTTTTTTAACCGAATACTTTATTGGAATAAGAGTGTCATGGACTTTTTTCCCCTAGGCTGGCTTCAAACCATGATCCTCAGATCTCGGCCACCTACTGAGTAGCTAGGATGGCAGGCATGAGCCACTGGCACTCAGCATATAGGACATGTTTTAAATGCTACTGAAGCACGGTGCTGGTGGCTCACGCCTGTAATCCTAGCTACTTAGAAGGCTGAGTTCTGAGGATTGTGGTTCAAAGCCAGCCTGGGCAGGAAAGTCTGTGAGGCTCGTATCTCCAATAAACTACCAGAAATCCAGAAGTAGTGGTGTGGCCCAAGTAGTAGAGTGCTAGCCTTGAGCTGAGGGACAGCGCCCAGTCCTAGAGTTCAAGCCCCATGACCAACAAGAACCAAAAGGAAAAAGAAGAAGAGGAGGAGGAGAAGGAGGAGGAGCTGCTGCTACTGGAGCAATTCACAAGACTTAGGTAATTTAATAAAGACGTTAACCAAAGAACTAAGGACCTTGAGAAAGGGAATGGAGGGAACCAGGGCATAAATAGAGTGATTGAGATCTGGTAACAGGGTCCTTCGGTTCTAAAATAGGGAGATTGCAGAATGAGCAGTTCCATCTGTTTCTCAGTGAAACATGAAATAGCATCACCCGGATGCAGGGGAAGAATATAAAAATGACAGTGAAAGCAAGTCACGGTTGTTACCTATTTGACAACTTTGAGTCTCCCTAGTTTTTCATACTGAGATTTTTGATTTCTCATTTTCCTGGAAAATTCCTATTTGTTCCAACCCATCTGCGTTATCAGAGGTACCTACCTTACCTTACTATAATGCACAGAAGGTTTGTTTGTTTCCCCTACAAAACTAGTAATGTTTTTGAAAAGTTTGGTCTGTGTTCCCATTATCAAGTTCTATGTGGGACATTTAAAAATTTTAATATAATCTTTAATAACACGTGGTAGAATCTATAATTAGGAGCACTTACTAGAGGGACACAGAAGTACCAAGGATTAACCAATTCCTAGCACAAAGCCGCTTTTTAAAACATTGCATGGCCCTGCTCTGGCTGGCCCAGCTACTGTTAACACACTGTACTCCTGATCTTTGCAGTATGGACACACTATCACAACAGCTTTCATTTAGCTTTGTTTTATTCAAATGTAAGTTCCAAGATACAAATTGTCGTTATACTCAATTTGTTTGGTTTAAAAACATCAATTAGGTCTTGTTAACAACTTCCAAAACCAAATGTAGTTATGACTAAAATGTCTCCCAGTCTATTTTTCAAAGATTGCTCTTTATTTAGAAACTACTCCAATTTTCACTCTACAAAAAGGAAAATGATGCCATGAGAACAAAGTTATAATCTGAAAGACCTCATGAGAAGAACTTGAACCATTACTAGAGAGAGCTACTATAGTAGTCAGGATTAAACACTGCACAAAGAAATTTCTGGTCCTACCCAGCCATAAAAGAAAGGTACCTCACATGCCTTTTAGCCTATCACAGAAAGTCAAAGTCTTCACCAAGATTTAGAATTTCTTAATAGCTTAAGGGTTTGTTTCCTTTTTTAAAAAATGTGGGCTAAAGGACTAAAGGAAAGCTCAAGACTCCAAAAGAAAAAAAGAAATATACAAAGATATTCTGATTCGAACAATTTCAAACAAGACTTATTGAGCTGAATGAAGAATGTAGA